CGCGTTCGCAGCCTGTAAATTTGCATATCGAATATCATGTTAATTATTATTTGCCACACGCATATCTTGTAATTACTATTATCCTTATTGTATTTCGCGGAATGCCTTGTTAATTATATGCACACCGATGTCATATCTTGTTATTACTATTGCCCTAATTGTAATCCGCAAAATGACATGTTAATTATATGCACACCGATGTCATATCTTGTTATTACTATTATCCTAAATGTATGCCGCGGAATGTAATGTCATTTATCTGCATAACGAAATCATATCTTGTAATTAATATCATTCTAATTGTACTCCGCAGAATGTCATGTTAAATATATGCACACCGATATCATATCTTGTAATTAATATCCTAATTACATGCCGCAGAATGTCTTGTTAATTATGTGAACAGCGATAGCTTGCAATCACCATTGTCCAAATCATACCGGCAAATGTTGTGTTAATTATTTCCGCAGTAAACGCTTGTAATGATTTTATCCGAAATCTATGTTTCTAAATGTATTCCTCGTAATGGCATGTTAATTATTGTTTCCACACTAATATTCTGTCATTAATATTATCCTAATTGCGTTCTGTAGAATGTTGTCTTAATCATTTATACGCAGATCTCTTGTAATTACGATTTCTTCTTTCTTACTATACTCTTGTAGTACTGTTTCTTAACTCGGATTAAGGTGACTCCATGTAGACGAGGCTTATTACTTTATATGTATACGGCGGAATGTCATGTTAATTATGTCCACATCGATAGCTTGTAATTCTTGTTATCCGAAGTGTATACGGACGGGTATGTCGTGTTAATTATTTTTTCCGGGCTAATAACTTAAAAAAATAAATGTATACCGCCGGATTTCCTGTTAAGTATTTGCATGCCGATATCTTCTAGTTGTTATTATCATAAAACGTATATCATTCTACCATTCTATGTATAAGCATTGTACGGTGCTGCCTCATATTCTTGTGATATACCACAGTAGTCAGCGCGTTCGTATTGCAGCCTGTTAATTTGCATGTTAATTATTATTTCCACGCGAGTATCTTGTAATTAATATTATCTTAATTGTATTCCGCATTAAGTTCATGTTATTTATTTTCACACTAATATCTTGTAATTACTGTTATCCTAAACGCATACAGTGGATTGACACTCATTGCTATTCTACTCTGTATACCGGCTGCTTCCACATCCGTACACCAACCCTAGTCAAACTCGGGTTACACACTGGCTAATGTTACACTGGCTAATTGTTACACACTGGCTAATTGTTACACACTGGCTAATGTTACACTGGCTAATTGTTACACACTGGCTAATTGTTACACACTGGCTAATTGTTACACTGGCTAATTGTTACACTGGCTAATTGTTACACTGGCTAATTGTTACACTGGCTAATTGTTACACTGGCTAATTGTTACACTGGCTAATTGTTACACTGGCTAATTGTGACACTGACTAATTGTTACACTGACTAATTGTTACACAATCGGAAACAAAAACAAACAAAAGTAAAAGGAAGCGACACACGTATGACAATGACAGCTTAACTCTCAAATGCGATCGACTGTAATGCTTACCTTGTGGCAGTACGGCCCATGCAGCTCATCCCCACATGATACACAACCGTGTCCTATGCGATTTCTTCTGACCTGACGAGTATTTCATTTTTCTTCGTTCATCCCGTGAATCCTTGCTCTCTGATTGCTATAGTAACTGCGTGGTGCATAGTAACTATCCTTGCTCTCTAAGAATGGGTTTTCGCGCTGTGTGTGTGGCGTGATGTGGTATTGCTACGTCGGCGTTATAAATAATCAGAAGCCGCAAAAACACGATTTTTATTTTACTTTTACAACAGTCGTTGACGTCCTTGACAGTGTTCCACGTCTTCCGTCCGTCCGACCGTCCGGTGATGGAACGCCTTCGTATGGTGATAGTCGTACTCTGCTTAAAAATATCTATAAAATAATTATAAAACATACATGTTACATGTAATATATTTTACAAAACATACCG